CTGGATAAATAAATTTACTTTTCATTACAATACATTTTTAACTTATCAGAAGTCATGGAGTAGACAGCACTTGACAAATGCTCAACTGATTTTAAAAATTAGTGTATTATTGGTTGACTTAAGTATGTTTTCCACACATAATATTTTAAGTCCATGAATATTGTCTCTCCTTCCATTATTTTTGGAACTAAGTTGTTTGATTGAGATGTTTTACCACTCTAAAATAGACCCCGATTATTAATAAATAAACCATAATTAATGAAACATAAGAAATTTTAGTAAGGAGATGAGCTATATATCATAGTAATAAGAAATCATTCAACATTATGTTGGTGAGTTGGTAAGAAAAAAAAAAAAGGTTAATGTAGATAAATAACAAATTTATTTTCTTTTTGATATTTATTTAATTTAAATTATTACGTATATTTCACATTAAATGATCAAGTTTTTTTACTATGCAATGCAGGTTCATAAATTATTACATTAATAAAAAAATAGATATGTACATATTTGTGCATAAAAGCACATACAATCTCTGAAAAAAAAACAAAAAGAAAAAACTTATGACTCTTGGTTAAAAATAGTATATAATCGTACAGTTCATAAATAAAAGTGTTCAATGAATAAATCTTTGATCTTTATAATTTTTTCTTCTCTTAAGGAAGGAAACTTATTTCTAGAAGATGAAAACTACTATAGTTAGAAGTTTCACAATGTTTTCTTTTCATTTCAAATGTAATATATAAAAAAGATAACTACACATCAAAAAATAACAACCATTAATTTTATATTAATTTATAATTATTTACAGCTTAAATCTAATTTCAAAAATGTTCAAACAAGATAATATTGGCTTAATATTAACAATAAAATTAATAACAAATAATGACATTAACAACATTTTAAAAAAAATATATAATAAATAAAAAACAATAGAAATATATACAAATTAAAAAAAAAAATAGTACAGAGTTGTTCAACAAATCATTAAATATACCACTGAACAACATCAATCTCTTAAATGTTCATTAAATATTAGTAACTAAGTTAATTTCATTCATTTTTTTATACAGTGTGTATAAACAACAATAAATGAAACTCTTTATAATTATCTATAAGATGATGGTTGGGAGAGAGAGAAGGGGGGGGGAGATGCAAATATAAATAAAATACAGTATTAAAAAATACTGTTTTAATGCAGGGTGATGTTTCAGCCTAAATTGTAGGCCTTTGTCAGGGTTCGATTCCCATCAGTTAGAAGAATCGATCTATATCCATTCTCAAACCTGATGAAGGCCTATCACTTAAGCCAATACTTCGAAACACTTTAAAATAGTTTGTTTTGTTTCTGACCACAAGCCTAACCATTATCTCCTTGATTCTATCAACAGTCAATCATATTTCAATCATAATTTATAAGACATAAGATCCTCTTGCAGAAAACCTAAATTAGATACAAATTTGTCAAATTAATGTAAGGAAGTAGTTTAAAAGCCATTTAATGATAAATAAAAAACTTAATGTTTGCGATTAAGCAGCTTTGAATAAACATGAAAAGTTTTGGTCTATGAATCACTTCAACCATAGATAAAATTCATGGGTTGGTTTTCCTATCCTTGATTTTTTCTCCTTTTTTAAATTAATTAAATAAAAAAGAAAAAATGTTAAAATCTTTTCACTACAATGGCTGCATTCAGAATTTCATTTTTAGAAGAAATTTAAAACTTCAAGACCTTAAGTAAAAACCAAGGATTAACTATCTAACTGATTCAAAATTATAAAAATAATTACAGATAATCTAAAAGATGTGAAATCAATTTTCTTTTATATGTCGACAAAAACAGTAACCATTTTACAATCAACAAACACAACCACATAAAAGTTTCTAACATTCCTTTCAATAATAGATAAAAACTAAATAAATTTTTAAAAAATTATAAATTTAATGTGATCACATTGAAACACAATAGACATTATTAACTTATTTCACTCCCCCCTTAAAGAAAAAAAAAATGAAATTAAAAAATGACCACTCATAAGTAATACAATTAATAGGAACTGAGATTGGTACAGGCAATGAATACTGTTATACTCTTAAGTTTTATTGATTAATCTGTTAGGGTATTTTTAAATTATCACTAAATATTTCTTAGTTGCTTGAATAAGTATTTAAAGAAACATATTTTTAAAAATTGGATTAATTCAAGAGATCACTTTAACATGCTATATAAAAATTATAATGAGAGGCTCAGTTGGTGGACCATGTCGCATATGGGCGAACCCCAGTTTGTTCAAGTAAAAAACAGATGCCAGTTTCTATGTTCGCAGTTTCTATTTCTCAAATGAAATAATGTATATGTGTAAAAAATTAGTCAAGTAGATGCTATATAATATTATATATGTTGTATAAGGTATATTGCATATATTGAAGTCATCTGTCATGGAAGTTATAAATCACAGTCAGTATGATTATGTATTGCTACCATTCAACAACAAATTCAAATTTCGGTTTCAATTGTTAAGTTGAATTTTTTTTCTTCATAATAATCGTATTTGATCAATTCAGTAAGAAAACTAAACTAAAGAACAACTGAATAGCACATTAAAAAATTGTAGCAAAATAAAAAATTCAAACTCAATTAGAAAATAATAACTATTTTACAAAAAAGCACTGATAAAAGTTTAAATATAAAAACAATTTTTACAGTCATTTTGCTGGAAAAACATTGTTGATAGAAAATACCAAGCTATTTTTAAAAGATAAGATCCCGACTGATCATCATAAAGTATTTAGTAACCTACAAAATTAACATTTTTTTCTATTTCTGTAACCAGCTTAAGCTTAACAAAACCTAATATTTGGGAGATGTTAGTACTCAACATTTTGTAATGACAGTTATATTAAAAAAAATCTTGAGAACAAAGATAGGCAATGAAAACTGTTTTTGTTTCCATTTATCAATGTTATGTCAAGCACATCATTAAAAACAAAGATACTTGAACAAAACATATAAAAGATAAATCAAACATTAAATCCATTATAAAAACCAAAGGACCCATGTTTTGATTATATCCAGTTTCTGACAAAAAATTTCCATTCTTAACATACAATATCTAAGAGAATATTCAAATGAAATGCATAATAAAATTGGAAGAAGGGTATGTTTTAGAGAAAACCCATAAAAATTATTTTGAAATCAGATCACATCTAAATCAGATAGAGTGCAACCCAAGAAATAGCTAAAACATCAATTAAATATCTTTATGTTTTTCAAATGCACCAAAGAAACTCAAAAAACTTTCAATCGCTTAATATTTTGTAAATATAAAATATTCAAATCTCTTAAAGTTACTTTAGCTAATTATAGCAACCATAATAAATATTGATATATGGTTGGATAGAAAACTGAGGAATGGGCAAAATAAATAAAAACAAAAACAGTTAATATGCAATATAGCAGATGATCATATGATACCTTGTTTTTAAAAATAAATTCTATTACAGTAAAACAATATTTGAGAACAGATATATATGTATATACCTAAATTTACATTAGTATTAATTTTTATTTAATTAGTGATGAACATAACACATTTGTCTCAAAAGATGTCTAAAAAGTTTGGTTGATCTCTGATTAGATAGATAACCAGGTTCTTTACCAACAGCAGTCTCCGTATATATTATTTTATTTTTCTAGAAGAATATGGTGCAGTTACACAGAAAGTTTTTCCAATTTTAAGGTGTAAAATAAAATAATCTATACAGAGACTGTCGTTGGTAAACAATCTGATAATCAAAGGTTGTAAAATAGTCTAATATTACTTAATAAAGTTTAGTACCTTTGGAAAATAGAATTTGGTGAAATGAATTTTTAACATTTTAATCAATATACAGTTTTACCGAATTCCAAAGTCAGGTTTGTAACATGATCATAAATATTGTCACCTTTGTTCATATTAAAATTTATTAATCATAGCGAACACATTCAACTCAATATTATTTCTTCTAATATCATCATAGTGCAATTCAATCAGTCAAACCTTTGTAGCAAGTCCTTTGTAACTAATCTATATCAGACTGGCAAGAAATTACGTTAAAAAAGAACATTAGATAAAGAGCCTTCAAAATATGGTCCAGTTACTAAGTAGTAATCAAATATTTCAAAAATCAGAATTACTAAAATATAAAGTACTAACCACCACTGGGTACGCCAGATCAATTTAGTTCAATTGAATTTAGTAAAAGTTATTTTTTTTCAAAAATCAACAATATTGGTTGGTGGTAAATACCCTTCCAGTATTTTTCAATTTCAACTTTTTAACCCATAACAATTTTAAAGAACTCCACTTTAAAGTTATGATATATTTGTATACTTATTTATGTATTAATCAGCTTAATAACTATTGTACCTTTTAAGGGCATGAGAAAACGATATATCTACAATATTAGGTAATTATGATCAATATATTAGAGTTGAAATTAATCAATTACATTTTTTCTTACAATGAGAAAGTGTTATTGAATCAAAGTGGATGTTTTAATTTGATACATCAAGCACAATGAAGTTGAGTCAGGAAACGAATATGGACAAGTAAAGATTGATATTTCAACAAAATATTTTGTAATATCTTAATAATCGAACTTGAAATATCCAACAAAAACATGCCTTTAAAACTTTTATGATTTCTATTGATAGTTTAGAACTAGAATTTAGAATGTTTTAAAAATTCCAGTGAGTGTATGAAACTGGCAATCATACAGATATGTGCTTATATTCTATTTATGCTTATTTTCCCATAAAATATGTGAAAGAAAGCTCAGAAAAAAATTACAGTAACAAGAGAAGCAAATCTTTGGCATAAGATATCTCAAAATGTGACTTGAAAGGTTGTAACACACATCTCCTAGGGTATAAAACAGCTCATTTTTATGCCTTATTCCACACAAAAAAGGTCTTAGTAAAGATATGTACAAATAAATAGTTAATAATGTTTTTCTATCACTCTTCTCTTTTGGTAATCTTGAAGCATTTTATCCTGAAATGACGACACATTTGCCTGACCTGGAAAAGATAAACAACAAAATTACTTATTTTTTTAAACATATAACATTTTATATATAAATATATTAAATATTAATTTGGTTTATACTTAGTCAAACTTTGAGAGAATACATGTTTTGTTTTTTTCATAAATGAAGTTATGTCTTTTTGAGCAATCCACTAAACAGATGGATACAAACAAAAGCAACAAGCCTAAGAACTGGAGAGACAGGATATTATAGGTGTAAACATTTTCAAGCAATTAGGAGAGGAGATGATGATAGTAAATCCCTTACCTCTAGATGTAGATTCAAAAGCTCTTGTTAAAGTCTAATAAAATCCTCATATTCTACTACTTTCCCTTAAGGTTTCCTTATGCTAGTCATTAATGAAAATAAAAAAAAACAATTTTGCACCTCCATCTGACTTGAGTGCTTTCAAAAACAATAAACCAGGCAGGAATAAAATATTCTTATTAGCAGTCAAATGTTGACCAAATGTGTACATGCCAGATTTTTTCTTCTTTAAATGATCATTTAATTTTATTTCCTTTTAGAAAAATTTAATTGCTATTTAGTATAAAAGATAAAATAAAAGCTTTGATTAGTAGAAATGTAGGCAGCTGACAGTTTTTAATTTCTTTTACCTATAATAATAATAATATCTCCCGTGAGGAGTTGCTAGTCTCCCATCGGGCGCCTCCCCAGGTGGCGGATAGGGGAAATCTCACCAGATATGGTGGGTACCGGGGAAATAAAATACCCGGGGCAGACCAAAACTAGCAAAATCCAGGTGCGACGGTTCCCATATTGGGCGGCAACCTGGTCAGCGTCTGTTCTCCATGTCAGGGGCGGCTGTTTAAATCACCTGGCAGGAAGCTATAAATGCACCTACCCATTAAAAATGGAGCTACGAAATAGAAGATTAGCCTCGGACAAGCCCGATACTGAAGCTGCATAGGGCGGGAACAGTGGACAGCTTCCTTCAGGGACTAGTAGAGCGAGCGGCACTACCCTGTCATCACGGACCGCAAGGCTGCAACATTTACAGGCCAACAGTTCGAGTTCGAGCTTGGAGGAGAGACATTCTCCACCCGCGCGAGTTCGGTAACAGAGACCAAGAGGTGCAAAGAGGATGAAATGGACGCCAAATATGAATATGGCTAATTGGCAACAAAACTTGAAACAGAGAAAACAGGATATCTGAACCGTATACAGAGATACTGGTGTGAGTCCTTCCCAGGTATTAATATAAGCACGCAGAGACTGAGTGATCAGGTAAGAGTAACTTACGAGAAATTTTCTTACTTCAAATGACCTCCAACAACTTAAAATGATGTCAAGCTCTCTGATGGAGCGCTAAATACAAGAATAGATTCAGATGCTGGTGTAATCAATGCCTCAGTCGGTAATAAAGATTCAGCGGAACAATTGGATGGCGCAGATATAGAAAATAGATTGAGTCAATCACTTTTGACCGAGCATATTCTACTTCAAGGAATACCGCTTCAGGAGCGACCATCGTTGCCACGAGTACCGTATAATAAGGCCACAATTAAAATAACCAATATAATGAATAATGTTCTTAAGGATAATATAGACCTAATTAATGGTTTTCAAGATATCCCTCATTGGCTATATATTGCTGCCAAGATAGTTACATTAGAACTGGGCATAAAAATGGAAGATAAAAGTAAAAATAAACTTCCAACTGGATATAGTGGAATACCACAGTGGAAGAGAAGACTTCAAAGGAAAATTGATACCTTACGTGGAAAAATTGGCGTCATCTTAAACTATATTCATAACCCTCAAGCTGCAAGACCTAAGACAAAAAGGAAGATAGATGAGATTATAGTACAGAATTTGGGAACCGTAATGGAAAGTGAGTTAATTGATAGACTGACTCGATATCTAGATATTCTGAAACAAAAGCTGGCAGTTTACGACAGCAGATTGTGCAGATATAGTGAGGCAGCTTTACGCAGGAAACAAAATCAGCTGTTCAAGCAGAATGAACGTCAGTTTTATAGAAACCTAGTAAAAGAAGAAAAAATATCGATCAAATACCCTGATGACATTGAAACCCATTGGAAAAATTTATGGGAAAAATCGGGGAATCACCTCGAGAGCTCTTGGATACAAGAAGAACTGCAAAGTCTTCAGAATGTCAATGGAATGATGGAAGTGACCATAACTGTGGAAGATGTTTCGGAAGCGGTCAGGAACATGAAAAATTGGAGGGCACCAGGACCTGATGGTATCCAAAATTACTGGATTAAAAGATTTCATTGCTTCCATGAATTGCTGGCCAAAGGTTACCAGGAAATACTTGAAGACAAACAGAGCCCCCCTGATGGTTTCTCTGATGGCATCACGTATATGCTTCCGAAAAAGAATGACTTAAACATGGGTCCTGAAGATTTTCGGCCGATAACGTGTTTAAATGGTCTGTTTAAAATTCTAACTTCCATCTTGGCAACTAAGATATATGAGCACCACGAAAGTGAGAATATGATACCCATAGAACAGCTAGGGTGCAAAAAAGGTGCTAGGGGTTGTAAAGAACTCCTAGTAATAGATTCGTTCATTGCAGCACAAGTTGCGAAAAAACAGCGAAACCTCTCTATGGCATGGATCGATAATAAAAAGGCCTTTGACTCGGTTCCCCACAGCTGGCTATTTAAAGTACTAGATATATACAAGGTTGAATCTAAAGTAAGCAGGCTCCTTTCAAACTTAATGACAGGATGGAAAACTACGCTGAAAGTTGGAACTATCTGCACAGAGAATAAAATTAAAATATTGAGAGGAATATACCAAGGAGATTGTCTAGGCCACTTATGGTTCTGTATGGCTTTGTTCCCACTAAGCTGGATTCTTCGAAAGAACAAGATGGGATACAAATTAATCATCAATGACGAAGCCACCACAGTCAGCAACAGCTGTTACATGGATGACCTTAAACTATATGCGAAAAACAAAAGACCAATTACAAAGTATGGTTGAAGCCGTTTCATCTTTTAGTAGTGATATAGGCATGTCACTCGGTCTGGATAAATGTGCGGTGCTCCATGTAACCAAAGGAAAAGTGGTTAGTATGCAGAATATTCTAATCAATGAAAAAGAGTACATCAGGGAATTTGAAGACAATAGGTTATATAAATATCTGGGAATGCAGCAACATCTTAAAATTGCAAGAAAAGACATGCAACAAGACCTGACAATGTTTAAAATTAGATTGCGGAAAGTGCTCAAAACCCAGCTACCGGGAAACAAAAAATCAAGGCTATTAACACCTGGGCAATACCTGCTCTCGGTTATAGTTTCGGCATATTGCACTGGTCAAACACCAGCCTACAGGAGATCGACCGCCTTGTGCAAACAACTCTCACACAAGAACGGGCCCACCATCCAATATCCTCCAAAGCTCGTCTGTATTTGCCTAGGAAAGAAGGAGGACGTGGTTTGCTAAATATCGAAGAAGCTTGCCGCAAGCAGGAAGCGGCCCTACGCCGATACTTTCTTACAAAAACAACTGAGGTTTACCTCGCAATCTCAAGATTGGATTATGGTCTAACCGCACTTAACCTGAGCAATCGGGAGGTATCTACAATCGTGTCAGAAAATGAACGCTTGACAGAATGGAAAAATAAATCTCTGCATGGAAGATTCTACAGCAAATTAAATGATAGCTCGATTGACAAGGAAATATCCATTGAATGGCTAAAAGCTGGAAAGATATTCTCCGAGACAGATGGATTTCTGCTCACCATCCAAGACCAAGTTATTGCTACTAGATCATATAGAAGGCATGTTCTTAAAGATGCAACAACTACGGATAAATGTCTATTATGCTCAGCGACGCTGGAATCAATCCAACATGTCACAGGTGGGTGTGGAGTGTTGGCTGGCACCGAGTATCTCCAGAGGCATAACAATGTGGCTAGAATTTTTCATCAGGCTCTGGTGGTGAAGTTCAACTTGTTAGATGACAAAACTCCATATTATAAGTACCACCCAAATAAACTCCTCCAAAAAGGTAATCTCAAGCTCTACTGGGATGAATCGATTATAACTGACCATACTGTGCGTCACAATAAACCAGACATCCTTCTGATAGACATGAGAGAGAAAAGAGCAGAGCTTATTGATGTCAGGATCCCCAATGATAATAATATAAGCACCACTGTTGGAGAAAAACTGAGAAAATACCAGGAACTGGCAATCGAACTGAAGGAATTGTATCATTTGGGGAACGTCACCACCACTCCAATTATAATATCCTCCAATGGATTGATACCAAAGACAACAGTGGCAGGCACGATGGGATTAAAATTACCTCTTGAAGTGCTGAAAGAGGCTCAACACTCAGTTCTCTTGGATACAGCACGTATTGTTCGAAAGTTTTTAAATATCTAAAAAGTAATAGATATTAATCTGAAGTGGCTGGACTTCTGGTCTCCCACCTCAGAAACTTACCCCGCAAAGCGAGAATAAAGAATGGAAATAATAATATGGTAATAATAAGAGCAAGGTGGACTACAAACTTAACATCAAAGATGATGATACCACAATCAGTCATAGTTGGTATATGGATGACCTCAAACTGTATGCGAAAAATGAACAGCAATTACAGAACATGGTTGAAATAGTATCATCCTTTACCAGTGATATAGGTATGTCATTCGGCCTTGATAAATGCGTGGTGCTTCATGTAAAAAAGGGAAGAAAGGTTAATACCCAGAACATCCTGATAAACGAAGAAGACCACATTAAAGAGCTGGAAGCACATCAATTATATAAATATTTAGGCATGCAACAAAACCTTAAAATTGCCCGAAGGGACGTGCAAAAACAGCTTCTGACTGTTTTCAGAAAGAGATTGCGACAAGTATTCAGGACTCAGTTATCTGGGAAGCACAAAATTAAGGCCATTAACACCTGGGTCATACCAGCTCTGAGCTATAGCTTTGTTATAGTACAGTGGTCCAATACCATTCTACAGGAGATTGATCGTCT